AGTTCTCACTCTCTTGTCTTTTATTCGCCTTTGGTTCTCTTACTTGTGCTAAATACAATCAAGCCTGTAGTCGCTATTTTGATGGCAGAATAGTATAAGAGTAACTGCGCAAGGACGCGATTGTTCAGCAGTTAAAGACACTGAACTTGTCAGCTGGAAAGCTTGACAGCCTGGGTTCGAGACCCGAGCACCACGCAACAGGGTGAGCTCCCGTTCTTTGCCCTAGATTCTGCCCACCTAGCAGTTTGAAAGTGTGCAAATGCAAGTAGATAAATAGATACCACTTCGGAGGGAATACAACAGCGTTCTGTATGTTTTTGGCATACAGCATGCTGGTCATGGAAAATGTCTAGACAATGCTGGAGATGAGCACTGTTCTCTAGAGTCAGACACAACTGGATAGGAAAACCTTTATCTTTAAACTGTGTGCGTCTGTATATACCTTCAATTTAGTGCTGACTCTTAGCAATTGCCTGAATAAGACCTTGCAGCTTTCTTGGCAAGATTTTGGAAGTTAGATTGTAAAATAATGACAACTGATTATAAGTAAGTAACTGATTATAAGTAAGTTTTACACACACACGAGAGAGAAAGAGGGGGGCGGGGGGAGAGAATGAATGCATAGAATGCTGAAACTTTCTAACTTATTAGCCCTGTCAGCCAATATTGTTATTTTTAGAATGTAGGACATTTCTAAATACCTTTCCAGAATGTCCCTGGAGAAACCAAGCCCTACAGCAACCTCCAGGGCTGTTGTTCTGAAATCAGGGAGTTTGAGCTGATACAGTTTATGCCTATATGCCTGAAAAAGGGGGGGGGGATTTTATTATTTTCAACCTAGGATCAGAGGGCATGCAAGGAAGAGGTTTGTCTTTTCTGTGAACTCCCCCCCCTTTTTTTTAAAAAGCATTTCACTAGAGTGGGATCTTTTTTTCCCCCCCTCAAGGTGAGATACACAGCCTTTTAAGGCACCTAGTTCTGTATAGCTATGATGAACAAGCCCAGGAATTGCAACAGGCCTTTGAGGATACCCTTCACATGGTGGAGAGCTCCCTGCTTGAAATCTGGAGCCCAGACTTGCAGCATACCTCAGCCAACTCAGTAAGACATTAATTCCAGCCTGTGCCCCTTTGGCACTCTCACTGGCACACTGTATTATACTCTTTCATTTCAAAAAAGCATTCTTAAGGAGGTCACTTTATTTGAAGAAAAATTCGTTGCAACAGAGCTATTCACAAGAGGTGTCTCCATCGGGGGTGGGGGAATCAAGAGGAAGCAAATGACAAAAGCAGCATCAAGTTGCCTGTTTTATTCTTGATGTACATTGTGATATTGCATGCATGTTCAAAATGGGAAAAGCTTACAGTACAACTGCACGCTACTTCTTTGACCTGGGGAAGAAGCTAGATATGGTAGCAGTTTGGGTTCTTACTCTCATTGCATTTTATTTTTTCAGAAAATCGTAGCTGTACGTGATAATGGGTTGCCGTGCGGGTTAAATACTGTGCTGCACAGCTCAATATATAGCAATTTTGTTTACCTAATTTCTTTTAAGAGAATGCCACTTCACTGGTTTGTGTCAAGAAATCTGCTGCCAGGAAGATGATGTATATATGAGGTAGGTAGTCCTTGATCTGTGGCCATTTGTTTAGCACCCGTTCAAAATTATGATGGTGCTGAACAAATGATGCTTGGAGTTCTGCCTGTCCCAGCACCCGTGTCATACAAATGCAATTTGGGCGCTTGGCAAACAATTTGTGCATGACCAGAAAGTCAATGGGGAAGCTGGCACGGAAAGTCATCCCAGTCACTAAGATAAGTCTTCCCCCCAGCTCTGCACCCTCCCCCAGCCCCTCTTCGTTCACACCCTGCTGGCCACTCATGTCCCTCCCCAAGCCTTCCTCTCACTCTTCTTCACTCCTGTGCATCCTCAACCATACTACAACCTGACCCTCCCTTCCACCCCACGCATTCTCCCCGACCCATGCACCTTCATGCTCATAACCCTCATTTGTACACCCTCATCAACCTACACTGCACTTCTCACTCACCCTCCCTGATTTATGCTCTTGCACAACCCCTTGCACCCTCCCCGATCCTTCCTCACTGACCTGTGCCTCGCACATCCCCTCATCCCTCTTGCGCTTCCCTTGAACTCTTGTGCACCTTCACTGATCCTCCACTACACTCCCTCGCTTCCTTCCCCACTGACTGGTTGTGGAAAGTCAGCAGAAAGTTGCCTCATCTAACAATGGGATTTAATTAATGACAGCAACTGGGATGCAGGGATTTTTGTTACTAACAATGCAGTCACACTATATGACTATCACTTAAGCATGGTCCCAATTGCTGTCATGAATCAAGGACTACTTGTAAATTCAAAGCAGGTGCAAGAGTGGGTTGGGAAACAAAATCAAGTTATAATTTTCCTGTTCATTCCATAGGGAAAATAATGGTTTTCTGGTACTGTTATTCTAAATAAATCAACATCTTTTACTAATTTCTTGCAATTTTAGATCCTGGGTCCCAATTCAACTGCTAATAGCATAAGTGCTGCCTATACTCAACAGAAAGTGATGGCTCCTATAGTACAAGGTAAGACAGATCATGTAGTGTACAAATCAATTACAATTTGAATTTGTGTGTGTGTGTAAATATGGGGATGCTGGAATTTAAGCTTATCTGTCTAACCCATTTGTCAGCAATTTATGGGTTGCAAAGGAACCACAGTCCTAATAGTGTATTAACATAGCATGGAAAAAAAAGTTGATTTTTGCCCACTTACAATGTGAAATGGAATAGCAAACCAAATTTATTTATTTAAATGATTTATTGAGCCTTACAACAGTGACTCTAGACAGCATACAAATACAATATTATCACCAGCTCTTCAAATACTGCTCACCTGTGGGCTGATACTTCTGGCCTTTTGTAATTCTCAGCTGACAAAAACTGATCAAAAAATAAAACTTGGTTCCCAGTTGCAAGAAAGATTACTTTATGCAGCATGGAAGGAGATTGTGAACTTCAGAAATTGAGCAAACCCCTTCCTTGCTTGCTTATGCTTTTTGCCCAGGGCCTAGCATTCGAGTTTTGAACCCACTCCCTAGATGTAGTTACCATGAAGGAAAGCTCAGAATTGAGTTTGTTTTAGGTAGCAAAGGAATAAAATTTTAGTTTATTCTTCATTGATTTCAAGTAGGAGACAAAGCATAGGATTATTGTCACAGTGGAGGTTTTGTTAATTTTTTTGTCAGAATGTTTACATAAAGTGTACTGTAATATCTGTTACTTTTGCTTGCTTATCTTATTTGTAGGATTATCTCTTGCTTTTTCTTTCTCTCAGATCCAGAGATCTTTATTGCTCCCAAACTCAACAAAAACACCCAGTGGAAGCTTACTCTGCTCCAATAAACTCAGTTCCATAACTATCGTACAGGTAGTCCTCGCTTACCAACAATTGGGACAGGAACTCTATCACTAAGTGATGTGGTCACAGGGCATGATATCATGTGATCATGCTAACTTAACAACAGCAGTTCTAGAAGTCCCAGTCGTCATCATTAGGAGAATCCTGCATTGTCACAACAGCCCATAGTCATGTGATCGTCATTTGTAACGATTGTTTCCTCATTGACTTTGCTAATCAGAAGCTGGTGGCAAATGTTGCAAATGGTGATCACCCTGCAATGTCATAACTGCAAGTTGGTTGCTAAGCCCCCAAATTGTAATCATGTGACCACAAGGATGCTGTGATGGCCATAACCATGAGGACCAGTCATAAATTCTTGTTCCGTACCACTGAACGAGTGATTATTGAATGAAGGCCACCTGCATTTAAGTAGTTTCTCATCATGTATCCTTAAATGAAAGATGAATTGGCTCACAAAGCAATGTAAATTCAGCTTACCCCTATATATGTCTGATCATGGGCTTCCTTCCACTTTTTTCTCTCAACATTGCCTTTAATAACCAGATAGTAACCAGTCAGCTTCTACTATTGTAAATTATTTTTAATATGTTGCTTTGAACTCTCCAAACTTTTTTTTTCGCAGTTTGATATCTGAAATGTTCTTGGAGATTTTAAAGCAGGGCTACCAATAGCACTTTAATTTTTTAGGGATTTTTTTTTAAAGATATACCACTCAGTACCACTGAGCAAGATTTTTATTAATATATTAAGCCCTGTTTTGACGAATTGAATATTGATGGAACATTCTTTTTCTGAGAACAAAGGAGAAAGAAGAGGGGGAGGAGTTAGTAGTTTTATTGTAACTTTTTTCTTTGAATCTCTCATCTTTGATTTGCTACATGATGAAACACTGAGTACAGAGTCCTTTTCTGGAAATAGTTTCCAGTGACTGAATCAGATACATCAACTGATACGTTTGTGTGTGAATATTGACCGATGCCTGTTTATATTTTTAATAAAGGGTGCATATTACAATTAACTGTGGATTGCAATTTCATAACTCTGTGCAACCTCTACAGATTAATGCATGGCCAACCTGCATAAGTTTGCCAATGAAAACCTGGCTTTTTTTTAAAAAAAAAAGAAATCTCAGAGCTGCTAACGTTGCTGGGATATAGTTGAAAGCATGTGGCTGGTGCAAGGTTAGCACCAGCTACATAACAGGTAAGGTTTAAGAATTCTGCAAAAACACAACTGGAATTCATGAAAATATTTTGGTATTTTAAGGTGTTCTACTCTTCTTTTTATTTTTCTTTGGTAAGATAGACACTGACTTTCAGGAATACAGTAAGTGTACAATCCTACCTAATTTATTCAAGACAGTCCTGTTCAGTTCAATGAAGTTTAGTCTGAGATGGATGAATGAATGAATGAATGAATGAATGAATGAATGAATGAATGAATGAATGAATGAATGAAGTACAGTTGCTGGCTCTCAGCATAGATCATCTAATTGGAAGGTTTTCCTTGATGCACTCATCTTCTCTGATTTTTGTCGTTACTCGCACCAAAAAAAGGGAATGCTATCTTTTGCTGTTACAACAAGGAGCTTTTAATACACAGAGAACAGAATGTCATCCAGATCATATAACATTCAGATTGATATTACATGGGTAGCAGGGAAAGTGTGTCCTTTTCTTCAACCAAACTTCATTCTGTTCTCCTAGGCGAAGGGATTCATGATTGGGATTTAGAAACATTTCCGGTAGATGTAAAAAGGACCCTTTTCTTCATATTCTCTTCTATGAACCCAAAGCTGCTGGAAAGCCTTGAGAGATGCAAGAATGGAGCCTCCGGTCCAGACAGATGTTTTCCTTTCTGGAGAAGCTGATGAAATGGGATTATCATTTGGGCACATTCTAATCAGCTCTCTCTGGAAGCGGTCAGCAAAGCCCTTTAGTGTGGTGCAGCCCCCACATAACAAGATGTTGCCCATCAGGTTCTTTTTGAGGGCGACATCACACTTGTTGAGGGAAGTCATTGTCAGGAGAGGAAGTCCCAATTGCTGCGAGTTTATCAAGGATGGCTTAAAGAGCATTTCAGCACATAAGAATCTCTCTTTGCCAATAATGATAACTTGCCCGTCAGGAAGCTGATATTCAATCTCATGTTTCCTGGGAGCTGTGGCTGCATCATGTTGATAATCCAGCGAAGTGAAACAATGGTTCTCTTTGATATCCTCTAAGATATTCCAGTCTTTCTCTGTGAACAATTTTATATTCTCATTTATTAACTTCATTAGGTACTGAGTGACATCAGATCCAGCATAGTCTACTCTTTCGGTAATGCTTGGCATGGTGTATCCTTCGTAAATGGGAACTACATAGGAGACACCATGACCGCTCTCCACAACAAGACCTGAGGTCTTTCCATAGGAATACATAGACAATCTTGACTGATAAGCAATATGCATAGCAGGAGTGCAAAATGTTTCAAAGAGCATTTCTGCATATTTTTCTCTGTTGGTAGTAGGGCTTAGAGGAGGATCTGATACTAGGACAGCATGCTCTTCAGGTCGAATCCTCATCTCCCTAAGGAAAAGATATTCCCATATATCTTGAACAGAATCCCAGTCCACTATTATTCCATGTCTTAAAGGATTGACAAGTTTTAAGGGTACTGTAGCTTCCTGAAGTTCTCTTCCAACAAAAGTTTCCTTCCTGTTATCTCCAGTTTTTGCTGTCTCCTGGATATGCTTGCCTACAGTAGATGAAATCACATGGCTTGGCTTTTGTTCTCCAGCAAAACCACATTTGCAGGAGCCGGTACCAATGTCTATGACAACAGCCCTTGTCTCCTTTACTATTCTCCTTGGAGTTGTCTCTCCCTCTTCTCTAAATTTGGTACTAGGCTTGACTGCTGGTCCTTTCTTTGACGGCAGAGAGCCAGAACTTGCACTTCCTCTGCTTGACATTTTATTTCCTGATGCTCATATATGCCTACTCTCCATGTACTGACCACCATTTCAAATGGCAGGAATGGACATGATGTAGAGTCCTGATGATACCAACAGTAAGCACTGTGACATCATAATGGGAATTCTTTGAGCAGTACTTCCAACACATTAGTTTGGAGAAGATTGTTCTCAAGGGCAGGCTGTCTACATTTAATTTTACCTACACTTAAGATCCAGAAAGAGGATTATTTAGGTTACATTTGTACAATATACCAAACCATGCCTACATTCACTATGTTCTAAACATGATTTCAAATTTGTGGTTCAGTAAGTCTAGCATACCAAAGCACATATATGATCTTGGAAAAGGAATGTAGCAATTAGCCAAATACAATTTAAGTCAAGGAAAGAAGACAACTCTAGAAAGAAATTTAAACGGGCTTGCTTTGGTAGAGGAAGGGAAAATGCTGTTAGGTTTCCAAAATTCTACTATAATGTAGATTACAAATCCAGTACTGTATATCTTGCAAAATCTGTTTCCTGCATGCCCTGGCCTACATTGAAGAACCGACATCTCTCCTATTAGGAGAAGCAGACTCTTGTCTTTGATTAAAGAGAGGTCATCCGATCTTCATCCAACCATCTGCTAAGCATTTTGCTGCAGCATTATTGTAACACCAAGTGGATTTACAAAGCAAAATTCCATGATGCACCTAGCACAGCATTTGCGATAAGACTTGCCTCAACCAATGGCACAGTGGCTGGCACCTCAACCAGCAGTGACATGGGAGCTTGCCACAAATGTTTTGGAAACACTCAAGAGTCAATTCTAACTTTTACAGCTTCACATTGAGATGGTTTATACTGAAGTTGGATGACAGAACATCCTATAGATCTTATCGAGATTACTTTTGTTCTGAGTTTTCTGAGAGAGACAGCCAAATGGGATATGCCCATTATCGAAAGCAATGGTCCAGTATTAGACAAATACCAGAATTTCACACAAAGATTTAGAGCTTCTTTTGATGATTATGCTAAGAAAGCAACAGGTAATCAAGAGAGTTAAAAGCTAAAAGCAGATCAACATATTTTTTGCACCCACATCAAATTTTCAATTATTTACCAGAGATATTGGGTGGAATGTTTTCGCTCTGATTAATCAATTTTGAGAAGGACTTGCTGATGAGCTGAGATGAATTGGTGAAACAAGGCACACCAAAGAATCTGGAAGAGCTGTCCCAATATTAGGTGTTAATAGATGGTCATTTGGAAGAGGTGAGGCACAAAAAAAAATGGCAAGTGGGTGGTGGGGTTCTACAATCTTCATCTCTAGCTCACCTGCTTGTGAAGTCCCACCTCGAAGGGCTGACACCCTGCCTTACACAATAGGTAGTTTCGATTTACTTTCAAATGGGTTTCACAAAAGCTTCTACGATAGCAATGAGGTTGTGGAATTGCTAGGAGATCAATCTGCTAAGGTTAAGAGCTATTCCAACTAGTTTGTTGATGTTGTTCAAAGGGTGAATTGTTCGATCCATTTCAATATTCTGTTTATTTTTAATGCTATTTAAATATGTTTTGCTTGCCTCCATGGAAATATCTCAATAATATTTTGGTGTTTTGCTCATGAAGTCAAATATTTTCTTGGACTGGTGTCCCAGAATTTAATAGAAGCATGAATTCCAGAATTATACCTAAATGTGTGATCTCATTTATGCCTGCTCAGAAATAAACTCAATTGAGTTTAGGGAGATTGTCAGATCGCTTCACACAGGATTGCAATCAACAGATAATTGATTTAAACTGGCCTTTAAAAAAAAGCCTCTTATTTAGCTGGATGAAGTGGTCTCTTAGATCCTTTCAGCCTGTGCTACTTAATGGCACTGTGACGCTATTATGGGAAGTGCATGTGGAAGAGAAATAGTATCTCCACTACCTTGAGATCATTTAAAAAAATGCAGGATGTAGGCAGGAAGTAGAATTTAATAGGCATTGCTTTGCACTGTAGATACATACGCTTAATGAAATAAACACAGGAGTTCAAGTGATATTCTTTTCTTTTTTTTTAAATAAGATCTTAGATTTCACATCATAATGCCTGCAACATCCACAGCAGTCCCTTTAGAAACAGTATATAAAGCTGAAAGTCAAATTGGGAAAGCAGAGAAATGCCTCCAGCACAGGATGGAACATTATCCTGATATCTCAGGCTACAAGTCAAATCTTAACTATAGTACATTTTAGGTTTTTCACCTTTTACCCATGCCAGTTTTGAAAATGAATGCCAAGGTTCAGCTTGAAATATAGAATAGTATCCCAAATGTGAGCGCAAAGTTACCTTCCGTCACGTCAAAGTTAAAACACATAATTACCACATAACAAAAAGATTCATTCAACAGCAGGGCTCACTTTAGTTGGCCAATTAGTTATAACAAATTCTTTAGCAGGAAGGGCAAAGAGATGTCTTGAGTGAGGGTTGCACTGCAAAAGCACACGTACATCATCATTATACAAACCTTTTACATTTCCACATTGCCTTCTATCCATAACACTTTCCTCCACAATACCATTGGTCACATTAAGGTAGACAATGTTTTGGTACACTTCATAAGGCAATAGCATTAATATTTGCATATGAACATTGGAACTGAATTTACCCAATACTCAGGAAGGTGCATAAATAAAACTAGTCCACACGTCATTTTGGCCAATGTTCTTTAAGGTGTTCTTTTAACTGAGGGATAGTTGGCAGTTGCTTTTCGCACATGTGGCACTTCAGAGGCAGTGTTAGAAGTAGGAGAGCATTCTTATCCACAGTTACTTTTCCTTTCTTTTTTATCACTGCTATCACATCTGAAGAGAAAAAGAAGAGAGGCATAATTTAGAGGTCCCCAATCGACGGACCGTATCCATCCCACTTCAAACCTCGTATGAATGGTTTTAGCTACCAATATTTTTCCATGGACTGAAGAGGGCGTGGTTTTGGGTGCTGCCTGTATCCCATGGATGGGCTTTACCCAGCATGCCAAAAACCAGGCAGCGTGAACAAGCAATGCCCCATCCATGGGATACAGGCAGCACACGAAACCATGTCCCTTCCAGTCCACGGAAAAACCTCTCTACAGAACCAGTCCCTGGTGCCCAAAAGGTTCAGGGCCGCTGGCATAATAGATCTAGGATTATAGCTTCAGCCATATCCATCCCACTCCAAACCCCATATGAATGGTTTTAGCTACCAATATTTTTCTTACTTAGAACAAAACTTAGAAACTGGGAGGAGAGAATTCATGACATTTTGGCAATATCGGCAAGCTCACAATCTCAAGGTTCTTTATATTAATGCCAAAATTAGCATCCAGAGAATGGCTGTGTTTCTGGAGCAAACATCAAAAAAATGTTTGGTATGAATGAGTTGTCCAAAAATTTGCTCTGAAAGAATCTTATAAGCCAGTCAAACTGGGCAGCGGCCATACTTGTTTAACTGTGTCTCAGCTTTTCAAATATATATAGGGAAGATACCTTTCCTTACAAGAAGAGAGGGAAACAGAATTCTCCCATGTTTTTACTTTCCATGGCCCTTTTCTCTCATACTGGGAGAACCTTTTGCAGGGAAAAACCTCCCTTGCCTCAATTCTTTTACTGCTAAAACTAGATGCGCTTTACCTGTCCACTTGCTTTCTATGGGACTGGTGCAGGAACTTTATTAAACTAACAGGGCGGTAGCTATTCAATTACTTTGATCTTAAGTTATAGGAACAAACTCAAGTCTAAATGGGCATAGAAATTAAAAGAGCCTATGTTATTACCTGTAGAATCCAAGAAGTAATTGGTTGTGAAAGAATTCCAATGCTTCTTGGTTTTAAACCACTTAGAATCAAAGTCTTGGCTAATGACATGAAGATGTAGCTGGCTAAGAAAATCAAGCAAAAATGATAACTAGGATTGATAGCATTGCAGCAAAAACAATGTGTTAAAACAGCATTTTTACTAATGAAAGATATAGGCCAGAAGGCAGCATTTCTACTAATGAATGTTTGAAAGGTTAGCACCTTAATTCTGCCTTACCTCATGCTGGGAATGGCATGGTAGCCTAGTCTGAAGTGCAGGCTGTCTTTCTCCAGGCACTGCTGGATTATCGTTTCTCCAACCTTGTGCATATGTTCCAACAGTTCAAGATGCTCATGAGTTACTGCAAATAAAGTGGAAATGGATTTCCAGGGCAGCACTAACCAGTGATAGCGAGCTTTGGGATATTTATCTTTTATAACTACAACTTGCTCATCCTTGTAAACCTAAGAGATAGGGAAGAAAATGCAACAGAATTAACAATCATGTTAATATTCTCATGCTTATCAGTCTTGAAGCAAAGCAACATGAAAACCTTACCTGCATGTCTGGGTTTAGCATAGAAACCTTCAGACCTTGAGCCCAGTATGGCATACATTCCTAAAGGATAAACAGAAGAATCTAAATACATTGAGATAGATAGATAGATAGATAGATAGATAGATAGATAGATAGATAGACAGACAGACAGACAGACAGACAGACAGACAGACAAAAACTACAAAATGTATCTTGAGGAGTCCAGTAGTAAAGACTTCCTACTACTTAAGTAACCAGGCTTCAGATTGCAATCTTAAATTCAATTTAATTGTGCTTCTGAATAGCTAAAATAATTTTAAGAGGCACTTAAATACTTTTCCGAGTATACATAATGCTAAAACACTTATCACTTTGAGACTTCTCCCAGGAGAAACAAATATAACTCAATAGACAGAATGTACCTTACTCAAAACTAAGAGCAATTCAGATAGTGCCTGCCCCCAGGTGGTGACCTAGTTCAAAATGCTAGTCACTCGCACACTCTAAGCTCCAAAAGCATTCTCAGTACTTTTTCCTGCTCCCTAGGTAATTATGAGTCTTGAATTAACCTCTCTTAATGATGGAATGGCTTTTTAGTTTCCTTCTGCCTGCAGCCCTAGTATGTTCTCATAATTTCCTCTAAAGGGGCCTAGAATAAATTGGGGAAGGGCAGTATCAGGGATTGTGTGTCAATCAAAGGGGGCTATTCCAGTCTGTTCTCATTCAAATGTTATGGCTCCCCTCAAAAAAAAAATCTGGCAATCATTAGCAGGGGTATTGTGAATTCTCTTAAGAACCCAGTCCTCATGTAACAAGCAGAAGCAATAACTTGGAAGAGTTGCTTGCTTGCTTTACCAAACCAGGGAGAGGGGTTCATTCTCTGTTTATATACATTAGCTTGCCCTGTCAGTGTTGGTCAGAGTGAAGAAAAGCTGAGATTCCGGGGGGGGGGGGGGGGCAGAGGCCTTGGTTGAGGTCCAATAGACCAAAGGCCAGCGGTGAAATGCACTTACCTTCGCTACCGGTTCGGAAATGTGAGCATGCGTGCCTCTTCTGCGCATCCGCAGAGGGTCAAAAATGGGACATAATGACGTCCCAGCGGGTGGGTGGAGCCTCCCGCCACCGGCCCTACCGGCTCGCACGAGCCAGATAGATCCGGCCGGATTTCACCGCTGCCGAAGGCTTTCCTTGCCTATCTTCCTGTGTTCAGTTTTGCAACACCAATTGCTCTCATTTCTTGGCTCACCATTTTGGTAGAAGAGCTTTCAAGTGAAGAAACAGAACTGCCATCTGTCACCTCGTTGTACAAATTGTAGTTTTGCAGCTCCACCTGATCTGTTTTTATTTGTTTTCCAGATAAGCTTTCCACATTTTTGTTCTCAGGTTCACTGTGTGGCCTTTTTTCACTTTTTTCAGCAAGCTTCTTGTTTTCCCGACCAGCACATGTGCCCATTTCCTCCAAGAATTGTACAGTGTATGGATACAATTTGTTGACAATATGGAGAATCTGTCCTGGCTTCAGTTTTGTTTCTTGATTTTTGCCAACATCCACTAGATCAATACTGGTTGGATTGACTCCTATCTTGAAAAAAAAAAGGCAAAACTACTCATCATGTTAATATTTGCTCTCCCTGAAAGTCAGAATCCCTGATTGTGATAACTTATTAAATCAGGGATGCCTGACCCCAGGGCCATGAACCAGTACCGGTCCATGGCCTATTAGGGACTGGGCCATACAAGTGGTGGGCGAATGACCAAAGTTTTATCTACACATGTGTGAGATCCAGGTTGTACATGAAACCATGCCCCTCCTGTCCATGGAAGACAATTTTTCTTCCAAAACTGATCCCTGGTGCCACAAAGGTTGGGGAACACTGTATTGAATAATTAAAATAGACTATCTCATTTCCAGGGGAAGATGGCAGACTGGAGACAGCTCCATAGAAAAGTGAATTTTATACAATACTAATATGAAGTTAAATAATGCAAGAAAAGCTAGGATGTATTAAAATGGTGGTGGCTTTTTTTTGGCTTTAAAGCATCTACCATCCCCAAGTTATCACCAGTTTCCTCAAATTATGTATATATAATCAAATAGTGAAAATCTTGTGATATAGGTATGTGTCATGAGAACCGACAAGTGGATTGAAAAAAAGCTGGTTCCTATAATTATTCATATTTTAATTCTTAATTCTTAACTAAGGAAACAAAAGTGAGAAAGTCAAGGTGCAATACCATAAACTATACTTTTGTTTTTTCAAAATGTTATGTTTTATGTAATGTTCCTACCAAGACCAGCTAGATAGCTCTAGGTTAAAAATCCTTTAATCCGGATTTATGCGCTAAAATACTTAAGAATTAAGAAATATTTGTCAATCCATTGCAAATTGAGAGGAACAAAGCAGTTTATTTCAGACTGAATTACTATCCCATACTGATTAACCTGGGAGTAAGTCCCACAGAATCAATGGGGCTTACTGCTGTGACGATACACATAGGATAGCATTCTAATCCTCCTATAAAGAACAAGGAAATCACAGAGATTGAGCTTTACTTTCTGGATTGGTGCAAATAATTGTGCATGAAATCTGTTATATATTAAAGAAGACAGGGGAATGTACTGTAATAGATTTCCACCAAATGGAATGGATCTTAACAGGTGTACCAAAAGAATGAAGTTCAATAAAGTTCAGTTAATAAAAGTAAACAAAGGAAGTTTCTCGTGAATCCACAAAAATAAACCTTAGTTAGAGAAGGCAGATAACTCTCTTGCTTTATTAATCTTGGTGGAAGCAAACTGAGCAAAAGGGAAATCATGCTAGAGAGTTCCTATTTTTTTAAAAGCAAAAAAGAAGCCAAGCTTTCATTCTTTTGTCTGTGGGATCAGTTATAGTGTGGGTTCAAATTAGCCTGAATATTCCCCTGGTTTCCCTTTGGAAAATTCTGGGAACTGTAGTTTTATAAAGCATTTCCTGAGCCTTTTATTACAAAACATCAAGCCATGACCCCTATGCAGAACCCAGAGTCATTTGGTCAAGAATTTTGACAAGCAAACTCATTAGGATCTGACTTAAATGTGGAATGTACAATTTCCTCAAAACTTAGCACAGAAAGTCACTTACCACTCCCATTTTTTAAAACTTGAAGGATGGATTTTGTTTGTATCTGATGTGGTACTGAAGTCCAAAAGCAAATAAAGTTTGAAGAGGTGTAGAGTACATAGAATCCTCTTCCTAATAAAGCTGCTTTGCAGTAAGACAAATTGAGGATTGTTTTGTTTGGGCTCAGCATGGTTTATAAACCCAGTCACTATGGTTTGCACATTGTGGATTATTATTAAAACCACCCAATCATTTTAATTCCTTGGATTTAACATGCAAACCTAACCACTAATGGTTTGTAAAATACATTTTATAGTATATCATGTTTTATAAACTCAGTGAATATACTGATTCAATAAGCCTTTCTTAAATCATAGCTTAGCATAAGGTGTAATGATTCATAGCAATTATTCTTATAAGGTAGGACTCAATTTATGACTATAATTAGGACTGACATTTTCTGCTAAACAATGCAATCATAAAGCAAGGTGTCACATGACTGTATCGCTTAGTGACCACAATCCCACCAGTCCTGGTGATGGTGCGAGTTTGACACCTGTTTGCTACACTGTGTTTTGGGAGAAAGTAGTGGACCATATAAATGTGACTATTCGACAAAAGTAAAAATTTTCAGACAATAATATTATCTTATTACTTACCTAGTGTATGGAATTTCGCAACTGGACATGTTAATCAAGAACCATAGGTCATTAAACAAATACGCAGCCCAGTTCAAGCCACCCCAGGTTGGTCGCTCCCAGTCCCACAGCTCAGTAAGATAAGGGATAGTCTCCAACTCCCCCACCTACCTATCTATCCTTCCCTCCTCCACTCTTTTCACTTTTCTGCACCCAGCTTTGTGGGGCAGCATGCAGTCCCAGGATTGCATGGCTCTGGGGCTGTTTGCCATGCCCTGGGGAATCGCAGCCACCTCAGCCCAATCCAAACTGTCACAGCCCAGGCCCAGTCTTGCCACCCTGCATACTGATTGCCCTGGCACTTTGCTGCCACCCAGTTAACCTTTGGAGTCTTCTTCTTCCCACTGCTAACCAGGCATGTCTAACCAGGCATGTCTACCCTGGATTCTGAGCTGGGCTGGGTTGAGCTTCATCTGAAGAACAAAAAAAACAAACAAGACCCAACCCCTTTCCAAAGGGCATGCCTGCTCAGCAGTGGGTGCAGGAAAACACCAAAGGTCAGTGGGAGTGGCAGAGTATTGTGGCAGAGGCTAAAAGGTTATAAATGGGAATAGGTAGGTGGGTGAAGGGAGTTGAGGTGCCCTTATAGTCATTAAGTATTTGATGGACCCAAATTTTGATCACATGACTGTGGGGCACAATGGCTGTAACTTTAGTTGTTAAATCCCTTTGTTCATTCTTGCCATAACTTTGCAGCCACTTGAATAAATGGCTGTAAATTGAGGACTACCTGTATAGAAGTTTGCAATTACTTTTGGTGAGGCAGTATTAAGATTTAAATACATAGAGCTCTATTATCGCTGGAAACAATTATTTCAGTTAGAAAGCTATGGAATGGAATAGATTCAGTCCTTTTTCTCATTCTAAATTGACCTCATAGTGAAACTCAACATTAAAAATCGGGAAAAATGGGCAGGTGACATATAGACTTTGTACAAGTAAGTACAATGAAATACGGGATTCATTTATATAATATACAGTTGGTTTAAAAAGTATGGTAGTTTTAGAAGTGTATTAGAAATACTATATGTATATATATCTATGTAATATATATATATATGTATGTATAATATACACACACAGACACACGCATGTTTGCATCAGATAATTATATATAGAATTGTCACTATTTACTGTTGCAATGGCATACTTTAAATTTTTTCTGATGTATTTTTTCACTTATTTTTCCAGCACTTGTTGTATATATTTTTAATGATGTATTTACCTACGTTTTACTTCTTTTTTTGTTTTAATAATTTATTCCATAATGCTGTATGGAAGGAAAAAGCATACCTGTTTAACCTTGACATACCCTTTGTTGTAATCTGCTTTTAGTTGTACTGAAAAAAAAAGTGACAAAGAATGATATTAGGCTATGAATTTTATGGAAGTGCTAGGGAAGGGAGAGAAAAGGGGTCATTTCAGAAAAGCAAATGCTTTAACAGTGATGCAATTTAAATTAAACAGTAGGCGCTAGGAGACAACTGATTTATTCTCATTTCTTTTGTCTGTTTGGAAATAAATGCAGCCAGAAAATTGTGAGCTATCATCTTGTGGATTAAAATTATTGCTACAATTATATGGTATAATAGTTTAATAATACTTTACTTCAGTTTCATACTATCTCCCTATTCTAATTAGTCTCTGTATTTCAGTAGCTATACTCAAGGAAAAAATCTATTTTTTTTCTTTTTCATAAAGTTATACACATTTGCACTAAAGCTGTCTATATGCCCACACACCAGGGTGAATAAAAATCAGATTTTTTTGATTTAAATCGGATTTTTTTTATTTAAATCGGATTTTTTTGATTTTTATCGAATTTATTTTAATAAAAAACTTTTGGGGTAAAAATCTATCGTAAGATAGTTTTCTATTTAAGATACATAAATAATTTAGTTTATTCAGCATGAAATGGAGCTTAGTTATGTAGCATGAGGTTGTATATTCTGCAACACTGGGACTATCGGTGAGTCAACAGTGGGTCAAAGGAGTAGAAGAGATGACAGTTGCTCTTTAAAAATTATGATTTAAATCGAGTTGATTTAAATCAAGCCTTTTTACTAATGATTTAAATCATGATTTAAATTGTGATTTAAATCAAATCCACCCTGCCACACACCACACTGTACATCAGTGTTCTAGACATGGACAGAAAATGTCAGGGTACTACTCATTCAGTCCATTCCAGGACTATCTAAGCAGCATATGTGGCTCAGTTTTCCTGAATCGCTATTATTTTCTAACAAGAGCAGATTCATTGCAGGATTTAAAAATTCTATTAAACTTTCTTATATTTCTCCATCTTCTATAGCTACTTCTACCCACCAACTGGCAAATGCAAATATAAAAGCATAACCTTACTTCCATCCATAAAATGTTGGGAAGTACAGGTAGTTCTCATTTAGCATTAAATGTTAGCATTAACAATAAGTAACTTTGCAACCAGCCCTCACATTTACCATGGCTGTAAAGCAAAGAAAAGCTGAAGTGAGCACGGTTGCAGTTTCACTTAGCAACCTCTTGGTTTAACAACCAAGGTGACAACTGTGGTCACTAAATGAGGACTATCTGTACAACAAAACATTACTTAGTTATAAAATGTTGATTCAAAATATGTCACATATATTATCTTGTAATCCTATTAGTGACACCTATTTTTACTGCTTTCCTATGTAGTTTATTTCTAGAGTCTTTTGGAGTAGATGGCCATAATAAAATCTAATTAATAAAAATAACCTGAGAAAATGAAAATAGCCATCCTTGAGAGTAGAAATTAAATTCAAACCAGTTTTCCTAGCTCAACCTCTTAGCTTCATAGTTATTACTCATCATGCCACCTACTTTGACCCTTTATCTGGCACCAGATATTTATGCCATTAGGCATAATTAAAAAAAGAGGCAAAAATGAAATAAAGTAAAAACTATTGAGTTTACTAAGTTTTACTCCCTAGCATATTTAAGGCTGCTACCTTAATCTTCAATTTACCTTGTTGTCGTGAACACTTCTTGTCTGTTATCTCCGTGTCAGGCCCACGCCCTATCACCACCATTTCTAAATGTGGTAGTTTAATTCGCTGACAGCTTCTATCTTTGCTCACTAGCCAGCATACACGCATTGTGCTCAGGGAGGGGAAGAAAAAAAGAGAAATACTCAGTTTTATCAAATAAGGTTCAGCTAGGGAGAATGATCTACAGGTGCTATAAAAGTGCTATAAAACACTCACTAGAGATTTTTATCTATTTGATAGATAAAATCTACAAAGGGAAGAGCACAAAAATTTACAAGACTTTGAACAGCTTATTATCCAAAATGCTGAAATGCCAAATAGATTTTCATTTATTTTTTTATTGTTATAAAATGCATAGATTTGAGAAAATAACCAATTAAACAATTTACATTATGCTACCTTTATAATTGTATTTATATAACACATTTATATATATTAAACTTACAATACATTCATTAACTATGAATGCATTCCAATTAAAGGAATTGTTCTGTGACATGTCATTTTAAAAAACTATACTTTAATATGAGCCACAGAATAATTTCATTCACTCTAAAACTTTACAGTACATTTATAAAGTGTCATTTTTTAGTCTGTCAATACTTTTTAACTAACAAATTTAACTAACAATTTATAAATTAATATAGACCAAAACCACCAATTCATACTTGGCATAGCTTTTTCCTTCTTCCAGGAGAAAAAAACAGAATTTGCTTATTTGGAATAAGTATTCTAGAACATCAGATTTTTTCAGTTGATGGAGTACAGTGCTAAACCTTTTACTGTTGGCCAAAGGGCAACATTAAGTAATGATGGGTGAATTAGCTGAAAGCATTGTGCTTATGAAATGAAGGTTTTCTTTAATTGGAGCTGTTCTTGAGCGTCTCTATGGTAGAATCCAAGGAAATGAATTATTTTTGCAGAGCAAAACAAGGGAAAGCATCCTATTTTTAACATCTAGAATACTCTAAGAGACTGCTTATTTAACTTCTAAATTTAAAAAAAAATAGAGCTAACTGTATTTTGTTTCATAAAAAATCCAGAAAACAATTCTGAATTTGTTTGGAGAAAGTTTGCAAAACCTTAGATTTTGAACAATTACAAACAGAAAATTCACTGCCCTTCCTTTTACTCCATAAAAGAACTATTTAGTTTGAACTTCTTACTACCCCTGTAACAGAGAAACCAAGAAAAGGGTGCAGTTTCATTACTGTTTTTCTTCGAATTCCCAGTTTCCTTCAGAAGATGGTTTTGAATGGATTATGTATCCGGCAGCACTTTTCAGGATGCAAAAACTACTTTACAAGAGAAAGGGAACCGGTTCACTTCCTTTTTTCCCCATCATGATATTGCAAAGATCAGGACTATGTTGGAAAGCAATTGTTCATGGATATATGGATCCAAAGTTTGGCTCTGCACAGTATTTTATCCAGGCTATGATTCACATAACCAACATCCAGATCTAATGCATGTTTATTTAAAATCCAATTAAATAACTTCAGCATGCAAAGGACTGCGACTGAAACAACACAAGCACCTGGCACAATCAATTAAGCATTAGGGCAGCTGGAATCTGGCTCCTGAGAGTCAATGACTGTATGAATTATACGAGTTCCTCCGGGGAAAATGTTATAACAGAAACATTTCTTCCAGACAATCTCTCTTGCGCCATCTCACAGTATAATTTTGTGCTCGATTTTTTAAAAGGCCATCTAAAGACCCCTGTACCCCATCCGATTTCGTCCCTTCCAACAATTTTCGGTGGGTTATTCACACACACACACACCCAAAATATACCAGAAGCTTCTCAGGGGAACCGCCTCCTATCATCAACACAACTCCCTCGCATTTCCACTCACCTCCACGTTGCCATCTCTGCCCCTCTCTACACTTCCTAGCCAATAGCCTCCCTCTGGACCGCTTCGAGCCCAATCAAATTCCAGTTTCTGATTCCTTATTCCCACCCCCTAAGAGGGAGGAAGTAAATACGCAGCCAGTTTCTCGACCTTTCTTTCCCGCAGTGAAGCGGAGAGAAAAAAACGTTTGGTCGTGAGATGTTTGTTTACGAGGATTTGTGCTCGGATTTTCTTATTTATTTAACCAATAAAAAAGGCTATGCCGATCCATTAAAACAAAAATCATTACCAGTTAGTACTGATATTAAGGCCACTCAAAATCTCACCAAATATTTAGCGAGCTAAATTGTCCAACTTTTTATTGGGCTGGATGTTACTTAAAGCAGAAAAGGAAGAAGCTACTTGGAGAGGCCCACCAGGATGCCTTTTAGTGACACAAAAATGAAATGCAGCCAATTTATTTTTTTAAAAAAAAATCCTATGCTGAATATTAATACCAGAATTCAAAATTTAATGGAACTATATATAGGTGGATGTTGGATTTCAATTTTTATATGATTCTTGACAAGCGTATCTTTTATGTACACTGAGAGCATATGCACCAAGACGAATTCCTTGTATGTCCAATCACACTTGGCCAATAAAATTCTATTTTGGAGATGTCCCTGCTGCTTCTAAAATTAAGAAGCAACTCTTTAAAGAACTGATGAAAAAGACACATATGAACAAATATGGAACAAATTTAAATGCCCCATCCTAAACCATGAATATTGTTTTACATAATGTGAAAGTTTCCTATTCAAGGAAATTTGTAGAGCTAAATATCCTAAAACAGTGAACATTTATATTAATACATGTTTTAAAAATCCCAATGAGTTTTGGATGCAAATACATTAATCCAGAAGATTTAAATTACAACTGAAACCAGAGACTTTTGGGATGACTAAGGGCCAAATAAGAAAAAAGTCATGCAACTTCTTATATACGATAACTGCAGTGAGACTATTATAAGACCAAAAGAAGAAAGGTTCAACACAACCCACAATGGTAGACTAGTTGGTTAAAACAATGGAACTTGCAAAGATGGCTAATTTAAGTTCTTTCATTAGAGCAAAAAACAGTATCTGTATTTATGGTTGACTGGAAATCCTTTACAGACTTTTTACATCAAATAGAAAAAAATGCATTAGATTTCTGGTTTTTTTCTTTGCTTCTTTTATTTATTTATTAATTTACACTATTTCTAAGCCGCCCAGAATCACCTTATTAGTGGGACGGTGGGGAATATGAATTTAATAAATAAATAAGCTTTTTCGACGCAGTGTTAAAGAGCGTGATACTATACTTTCGTTTGCTTTAACACATTTCTCACACGAGGATTCGGGTTGCCCTAAACTTGGCCTCAGATTCTCTGTAGCTTCGCAGAACCGCTCAGTTCTACAGGACTTCGAAAGGTCGAATGCGCCCACCCCTGCCGCTTTGCATTCTGGCCCTTGTAGTTTGCCGTTGTTGAGCCGCGTCGAAAAATGGCGGAGGACCGAGCACGTTGCCTATCTTGGCATGACGGGACTTGTAGTTCCCGGCGGTAATATAATCCCTCGACAAATGATTGGAAGATGGCCTCGTTTTTCGTCATGGCTTCTGGAAAGCCGACGAATGCCGGCCATCGATGGTACCAGCAGAGAAGGCGGTGTTTCCGGTATTGGGTGGGGCTTCCTTGAAAAAAGAAAACTCCCCGGATGCTGCCTAGCCTGAGACCGGCTCGGAACTTTCCAGAAAAGTCGCGGTCGTTTTGTCTGTGGGAGAGAAAGAGGCAGGCGAAGGTGGCTCTCGGCGGCAGGAGCGGGTACACTTACCGGGAAGACGTCAGGCTGCTTTTTTTTCGGCCGAAAGCGCGAGGTGGGTGGAAGACAAAGGGAAGCCGTTGGCCGCGCCTTCCTTTCTCCCCCCCCCCCCCCCGGCCCCCCCCCTCCTCCTTTCTCCCATCCTCGTCGCGCGAGGAACGACCGCCTGGGCAGCTTCGTCCGCGCGCCTGGAAAGCCGAGGCGGGCGCGCTGCGCGAGCCGAAACCGTGCACTTGAGGGGAGGGGGGGGGAACCGATACGAGGTGGATGAAGGAGGCACGAGGGCGGAAGGGGTGGTGGTGGTCGGTGAGGGGAACTGGGGAGAAGCCTGCGAGAAAGCCTTTTGGGAACGGGGCAGGAGGGGGTTGGCGCCCATTGTCCGTGAGACGAGGAAGGGTGACCATGAAGAAGCATCCTTTCTGGGTGTTCTGTAGGGGAAAAGCGGGGAGGGAGGGCCTGGGGTCCGGTGGCGGGGGGGGGAGGGGAGAGTAAGTCCTTTTTCAGGTGAGTGACCTTCATCTGCTCGGAAACAGGCAGGTGTGCGACTCTAGGAGCGGGACCTTATTCAGGCAATTTAAGCGAAGGTGGCCGAGTCAAGCGGGAGGAACAAGAAAAGGTGCTTCTGTGTCAGATTTAGTACTTGTTTGTATAGCCATTTAGGCTGTGGGAGGCTAGTGCGGGGAAGTGGATGAAAGATGGGGGAGGATTGTTTCTGTTGAGGGTAAAAGAGGTATAAGGGAAGGGAAATAAGAAAGTGTGGGAGAGTCTCAACAGCTGTTTTACTGTTCTCTTCCCCACCATGTTCCCATGCAGGTACTGTTGCATCATGGTGAAGGAGACCACATACTACGATGTGCTTGGGGTAAAACCTAATGCCTCTCAGGAGGAGTTGAAAAAGGCTTATAGGAAGTTAGCATTGAAGTATCACCCAGATAAGAATCCTAATGAAGGTGAAAAGGTGAGTAAATACGTTTTTTAAATCTTCCTCCTCCCACTTTCTGCTAATTAGGTACCGGTATGTGGCAGGTATTCTGTACCCATTTCATTTTACCTCTCGGTGTGAATGTGTTGGATTCTGGTTGTTGAACCCATATGCATACTTATCTTCAGGACATAATATTTCTTCAGGTGTTCAATGTTTTCATGTTCTGTTTTGCTTGACTGTTGCTTGCCCTTGAACATTCTTGTCTCTCGTTCTGCAGACGTCTCTTATTGAAAATGCAACTTGGTTTTTACAGTAAAGTGTCTTTTTGAGAAGATTTGAAAAACTTACATAAAATTTTCTCTTCGTGTCATTCCAAGTGTGATCTTCGGTAAAAGTTTTCATGATGAGCTTGACTCCTGGTGACTTATGTGGACATATCCACATGCAAATCAGCATGGTTTTTTTTTACTTCCCAGTCTGTTTTACAATCACTGCCCTTTGGAAAGCTTGCAGCCTAGCTCTTGTGGCAGCAGCTAGTCATTGTTAGCTGATTTTGAAAAAGCTAAAGCAGCGTTGAATCAGTGAACTAGACTTGGATATGCAAGACAAATATTCAGCAGAAAAGAGTAACAAATCACTTTATCACTATATAAAAAAAACCTCAGCAATCATTCAGTGCACCAGGACTTAAAGATTTACAATTAGGAAGATTAAAATTTAGATTTGAATTCTTCTGCTGAAATAAAACATTTTAAAAAACTCCTTCCTTTTCAATAAAATGAGAAAATTCAAATCCATAAAGTGGACCAGTCATCTGTAATTATTGTATGTTACTAATAATAGTATGTAAATGTAGTAGAGCTGATCATGATATAAATAATAAATATCATTTGGTGACAATTACATAGACTAAGCCTTTTGATTTTTTTTAAAATGTTGTAGTTCAAACAAATTTCCCAAGCCTATGAAGTCCTGTCTGATTCCAAAAAAAGAGAGTTGTACGATAAAGGTGGTGAACAAGCAATAAAAGAAGGTGGTAGTGGAAGCAGTTTTGGATCGCCAATGGATATATTTGATATGTTCTTTGGAGGAGGTGGAAGAATGCAAAGAGAGAGGAGAGGTAATGCACAACTTTCTTTCATCTAACGGAAATTTTAGTGGTTAATTTTTTATTAGTTAAAAAAAGGGGTGGTTCCCTGCAGACATTATAAAGATAAAGGTGATGATGTGGTTTCAAGGTGAACGGGTAATGATATCTTTTAATTTCAGAATTTTTATTTAATGTAAAACAATTCATTTGATTCTTTGTAATGATTGCTTTGGGAGCTGTCCACTAAAGGATCTATTAGCATTATTTGAACATTTGAACATTACCTCAAAGTCTGTTTGCTGTTATTGCTGTTAATATTAGCTGTATAAATTATACAATTAGTCCAAATGTTTTCAACATGATTTAAACTGCACATGAAATGGTCTTTGTAACTCTTTACTTAGAAATGCCCCATTGGATCCAGCCTAGTTTAATTTCCATTACAATAAATGTGGTTTTTTTTCTCAAAAAGTTCTCAGCTAGGAACTGAATTAATTCTTAATAACATGCTTTTCATTTCAGGTAAAAATGTTGTTCATCAGTTATCAGTAACTTTAGAAGACTTGTACAATGGAGCAACCCGGAAACTTGCTCTGCAGAAAAATGTGATTTGTGACAAATGTGAAGGTATGCTAAAACATTAATTTTATAGACGCTTAGGAGAAATTTTAATGTGAAAAAATGGAGTCTGTTTAATCTTAATTTTTTTTATATGTTTTCTAGGCCGAGGGGGCAAGAAGGGTGCAGTAGAATGCTGCCTTAATTGCAGAGGAACAGGCATGCAAATAAGAATTCATCAGATAGGACCCGGAATGGTTCAGCAAATCCAGTCTGTGTGCATGGACTGCCAAGGCCATGGGGAGCGCATCAGCCCCAAGGACAGGTGTAAAAGCTGCAATGGAAGGAAAATTGTTAGAGAAAAGAAAATTCTGGAAGTCCACATTGATAAAGGTATACTAAAGGAGAAATTAGGAGTTGTGGGATATTAAAAGTCCTAGAAAAGATTTACATATTAATTTAGAAAGGGATGATAAATTACATTTGGGTTGTCTGCCATGAGATCTGTGTCTTTCACTAATTTTTCTTCTTCAGATACCCTGTTTGATAAAGAATATAGTTCTATAGCAGTGATGGTGAACCTTTTTGGCACCGAGTGCCCAGACTGGAATGCGTGCGTGCGCCAGAGTGTCGAAAACCCAAAGACCAGGTGGCGACGGGCGTGCCCACAGAGAGGGCTC